GGATGTTCCCCAAAGCCTTCCATAAGGAATTTAACCAGTCTTCATAGGTTCTGCGTTGAACATCACTTTGACCTCTGACCTTTCATTCCTCTCTGAAGAAATACCACTATGTCACAATGGAAACTGTTGCTAATAAGTTGTAATTTCCCAAAGCTTTACAGTTTGTAAACGTTCTCTTAGGTGACCCGCCTCTCTTCAGCCTCCATGCTTTCCTGGGTTCCCTTGAAAGAGTTACTCTATCCTCCTCCACCTAGCTTCCTGCCAGGAGGAAGATAACCAGGGAAGGAAAGAAACAGAAAGAGAAGGCAGCCCTTGCCCAGGTTCCCCAGCTGCTTCCCTGCCAGGGCCCTTTTGGCCAGAAGCGCCACACCAAAGCACTGGGGAATTCACCCCATATTCTGTGAGCCCCTTTGGAGCCCCCACAGCTCCCCGGAGGCTCTACACTCCATGGGAATGACACGTCCTCTCATCCTCCCTTAGAGCCACAGGAAGGTGAGCCTAGGAAAGTGCCACTGCCACGGGACAGGGCTGAGAGACCAGGTGGGTCAGGAGAAATCTTACGCCTTCCCTCTCCGGCCCAGGGAGCTGAGAAGGGATAGAATTACCAGATGGGGTTTGGAACAGATCTATTTCCCTCAGTCAGGGCAGCTGCTGTCATTTTGAAATACTGTGGCCACCAAAAGACAACACATACAACACAGATGAGACATACCCACAAAGTAATGATGCTATTTTTTTCTTCGTTTCAACGAATAGACCAGAATATTCATCTCCTTAATTCTCACAACCAGTATCTTTATTCCTATCTAACAAATGAGAAAAAAAAAATCCAAGTTATTGATGGCAAAGGTGCCTGCTTTGGTGTCTTTTGTTGTGGGCGTGCTCTCCCAGGTAGACTCCAGAGGCCTGAAGGACATGGGGTCTCACCCTACTTTGGACTCAGCGGGATCATCCAGACTTGTATGTCCGACTTGGCTCCAAAGAGGCTTTTGGTAATTTCCAAATATCAAATTCACCCTTCAGAGGACAAAGATTTGTTAGCAGGGAGGATTTTCAAAAGAATACGCTGAAAGCAACTGCAAAAGAGGGGGTACTGCAAAACCTTTCTCAGTCTGAGGATAGCCGCAGCACTCGGATAAGCATTTAGTCTCCTCAAGGAAAAAACAAGGAAGGGGACAATAGTGATTTGGATGAATAAGTTCTGCTGTATTTGTATTAAGATAGAAAAGAAAAAAACAAGTCTCCAAATTTTACCCTCACCTTGAATGATAAGACAGGCAGAAGCAGAAATAGGTAGTGGAAATGCACTCAGGGTTTTGGATAGGAAAATTCAACTGCCAGTCGGACAATACATGACTGCTATTTCACCCTAGTCCCTTTGATGAAAAAGTGAAGCTGACTTCCACCATCAAGAATCAGCGGAACAGACAAATTCTTGGGATAACATTTTGTTTGATCCTAATCTACAACATCTGTAAGATCAAGGGGGGAAAAAAAAGCACCAGACCCTTAATCTATGCCTCCCACATTCCCACCAACTGAACAAGCCCCTTCCTAATATAAGCACATAAGAAAACATGCCTTGGGAATTTGAACAAATTGTGAAGGCACCCTAAATGAACAGACAGATATCAAAATAGAAAAAAAAGCATTCCTTTTATAACCAGGTTTTATTTAGAACAGAACAAAAAAGAAACTCAAAGTCAAGCAGTTCCTAGTTAACCAAGGTTCAATATGTGGCATTTATTTGTCCCTCATTAAAAAGAAAAAGCATCCTAAGAATTCCGAACTCACCAATTTAACACTCTGGGACTGGAAAAATACATTCCCAAGATAGTTGTCCTAAAAATTTCCCGTAGAGGGCACTAGAGAGGTATGATTGAGGCTGGCTTGGGAATCACAGTCATTTCTGGTAAAAGTTCTTTGATGTGAGGAATGTCCCAGTCTGGTACAGTTGGCAAAAGTTCACTCTGGGGAATTGTTTGTGTGTGTGTGTGTGTGTGTGTGTGTGTGTGTGTGTGTGTGTGTGTGTGTGTCTTGGGAAGGAGTGGTTGAGGAAGAAGAGTGCTAGTCTGGTATTCCTTAACTCCAAAAAGGAAATGCTGCCCTTGATTTATTTTCACAAGTTATCTGAGAAACAAATAGCAGCCTTGGAAAAGTTCTAGGTCTTGTTTTTGTTTTGTTTTTTTCATTAAAAGGGGGCCAGCTGATGAAAACAAGTTATGAAATGACCTATGTTTGTGTAACTGGCTGGATTGCGTAATGCTCAGGCCCTGAAACCGTAATAGTCAAGCAGCCAGGCAGGGCATATATCTGGGAGATGTTTTCCTAGGAAAGTTAGGAGAGAAAAAACAACAGCAAAAAGAAAAATCCAAGAAGGGGAGGTGTGTGCAACAATTACTGACAAAACAAAATCACCAATGACCAACTTTTGAGATTAAAACTATAACTGGAACAGGAAATATTTTTCATGCCTCAAGTTCCTGCCATATATAAGAACAGAGGCTGGAACAAAGACTAGTCTGCTCCCCCCACCCCCAAAGTCACTGGAGCTCATGGCCATGTGTTAAGATCCAGCTTCATGAAGCTAGAGGGGATGGGAAAGCTCTGGGTTGAAGAACTGGCAACAAACTGATCAGGAATATTGGACTCCCAAAAGAGAGACCTGAAAAAAATAAAATTCACTTCCCCAAAGAAAAGCCAGAGAACTGTCTCATATGGATCAGTCCACTGAGATATGCCATAAAAGAGAAAGGCCCATCCACTAACTGCCAGGGAAGTCTCCCAGTAAAGGAAGCTGAGAGAAATAAAGTGATTACAGGTTTTATCTAGTATGTAGTAAAGTTACCTCGAGCCCAAGATCAGGCAAGGTCATAGCACAGACTTGTGAAGGAACAAAAGCCTCTGAGGTCAGTCCTCTGGACCACAGAACGATTTTGTTCACAGTTGGAGCAACGATGGAAAAATCCACCCCGTTCCTCCTCGTCCCCCACCCAACCACGACCACACCAAGGAGCGGACAGGCCAAGAACCTCGTCTCAAGTGGCATTACCTTGCCAGTCCCTCTGGTTTGAAAGGCGTCTCACACACTGCCAGGTCGAATGGGCAGGCGTCTATGTGAGAACCCCGTGCACTGGTTATTACTAATTGCAAAATCCTCATGTGTTACAGCATGCTAGGAATTAGCCAACAGCTGCTTTTTGCTTCGGTAATGAGGCCCTATTACACTCTGCTGGACTGAGTTCTCTTCCTTCTTCCTAGCACTGGTTTCCTGTCTGATTTTCTTCCAAAACCGGGAATTGCCTCCGCTCACATCCTGGGCTCAAAGCCCTAGTGACACAGATTATTCAGTTGGGGCAATGATGTCCGGTATGACATCCCGGCAGGCCCCAGGGTCTATGCTAAGCCAGGCAGTGAGATTGTAATACTCCAACGATAACTGCCAAAGACACATTAGGGAAAAGAACAGAGAAGAAATCAAAAGATCCCTTCCTGATTCCAGGGAGGAGGACAGGCGTTTGGGGTTTGTTGAACGGGAGAGGGAGGGAATGGGTACAGACTTCAACCTATTCCCTCATGATGTTTACATTCAATACAAACCACCAACGGGGCTGGAAAGCAAACATAACCAGTAACTTTTCGGATTTAAAACTCATCACCTTGGTGCTCAATACGAACGGTGCATTGACTGCACCCTCAATGAACAGACTAGGCTGTCTCTACTGCGGGTGCTTATAGGAGCACCATGGGAGGCAGAGGGAAGGCAGAAAAGCCATTTTGGGGACTCATCAGGTATAGGGAATCACTTTGGAACAAGGGATCCCTCATCAGATCCAAAAGAGAGCCATGTTCCATAAGACTTTCCAGCTGAATCTACCCCTCCCTGGAAGCCCACCCCAGCCCCTTCTAGAGGCCAAGGCCACCGCCTTATGGAGCATCCCTTGCTGCAGCCAACTGTGCTAGACTCCACAGATGCTGACCACTGTGGGCTTCATGTTGTATTGGGCCTGTGTTAACCCAGCTCTCTCTCGAGACAGAGCGGGTGGGGAGCCGCAGCAGAGGGCACGCACGCCCTCCCCCCCCCCCCCCCCCGCCCCGCAACAACAGTACCTTCCTGGTATTTATAAACACAGAGATCACACGCACAATCCCTCCAGTGCAAACCAGTCCGGCTGCTTTAGAAACAAGTTGTTTTCTGCTTCCAGAACCACCCAGGAGCCTGTGTGATGTCTCTTCCCCCACCCGACCCCCTCTTCTCTCTGCCGGCCTCCTCGCTCCAGGTACCCCCAGACCCTCAAGGTGCTCCTTCGTTCCTGGGGGGCAGTGCAGCCTCCTGTCCCCGACCCTTACAGAAGACGGGCGGGCAGGCGGGCAGGCACTGGGCACACAGGCGGCATGAGCCAATCAAGGTTGGCTTCTTCCTTCCTGACCTTCGCACCTGATTCCCAGAGCGGCAGCCCTCGCCCTCGCTCCAGATTACTTGAAGGAGTCCAACCATGTTTCTGGATCCCCAACCCCTTTCAGAAAGGAGCTAAGACTGATGGAGAACGGGGAGGGGAGAGAGAGAGGGCTTTCCTGAAAGAATAGGGTCCCACGATGTCGAAAGGTGCCAGTGGGTGCAAAGATTTTCTTGTCTGTCCACCACCCAGAAAGAAGACTCGGGGCGGGGGGCGAGGAGGGGCGGGCACTGGGGAGGGGGAGTAGTTCATGGGAGGAGGTAACAGGCTCTTCCTGGTAGGGGGCCTACAATTCCAGGAGTTTATCTGGGTAAAATATAATGTGGGAGGAAAAGGGCATGTTGTCTCTTCAAGCCCACTCCCCAATCCCCTGATTTAAAAGGGGGTGGTGGGGGAGGAGAGGACGAAAATCCAGAACTTAACAACGGTGGCCCGTAGGTATTTTTTCGCCAAGAAAAGGAAAAGAAAGCAAAAGAGGCAGTGGCGGCGAGAGGAGGGCAGGGGTCCGCCCGCGCTGCCAGGTGCACCGGGGCCCGCACCTACCTGCTGGCCGCCGCCGCCGCTGGAGTACGACTCGGCGTGCGCAGGAGAGCCGCTGCTGCCCCGGGACGAGGTGTCAAAGTTCCCGGGATAATCCTGGTACATGATCCGCGGTAGGGGCCGGAGGGGAAACAGGGTGTTTTTCTTCCCCCGCCCTCGCCGCGGCCGCGCACCGGCTGCTGCGCGCTCGTTCGTCCGCCGGCCGCGCCGCGGGCTTTGGGCTTCGCTCCTAGGTTTCTCCCCAACCGCGGCGGGCGAGGACAAGGAGGCGGCGACACCTCGGGAACAGCGTCCCCCGAGCGCCTCTTACGGCACTTCTTTCCGGCTCTGAGAACGCCGCGGGACCAGTTGTCCACCCGGTCCCTCCCTCTAAAAAGTCGGCGCGTCTCTCGGTCCCTCCCCTGCGCGCGCCCTCCCGCCCCCGCGCGCAGCCGGAGCTCAGCCGGGACCCACGGCCCAATCAAAAATTGGAAATTAAAAAGACTAGGAGCCCAGAGAGCCTGGCCTGCCAGCCCCGGGGACCCTCCGATTTCAGACAGGGCCAAAAAGGCGGAAAGAAAAGCTGTCCGCTGGGAGAAACTTCTGTTTCTTCCTTTCAGAAAAGGAGCCGGAGAATAAACTTCCCGTGGCCGACTCGCCGCCGGAGTTTCGGGGCGGCTCGGATACTTGACTGGGAGAAGGCGGCGTGCGCCCGTCCCGCGGCCCCGAGCGCGCCAGGGGGACAGCGGCTCGTGGGGCTCAAGCTGAGCTGGCGCTGAGAGGGACGCGGCCCTGCTCCCCGCTCCGGCGCCCGGACCTGCACCCCTTCCCCGGCGCCCGCTCCCGGACGGGCCCGCCTCGCCCGACCGCGCCTCTCCCTCTCCCTCTCCCTGTCCCCGCCGAGCACCGCTCGTTCGCTCGCTCTCTGGTTCGCTCGAAGCCCTAGCGCTCTGCCCGAGATGAGTCACTACAATGGCACGAGTTCAACTCACACTCTTTATTCTCCAGCCCTGTACCATGTGGATTCACTCACGTCAACCCCAGACTCCACCTTGCAGGGAGGAGCGCACGAGGAGGCGGGGGGAGGAGGCCGCGGAGGAGGAAGAGGCGCAGGAGGGGAGGAGGCGGGCGCAGCTCTTCCCTCCCAGCCCCGGCTCCAGGCCGCGCTGACGCCAGCCGCGCACCCCGCGCGAGGAAGCCAGGCGGTGGCCCGGGCGGGAGCGGGCGCTCCGCACGGTTTGGGGGCGCCGAGGCAGCCCCGGCCTTCCCCCGCCCCCCGCTCACCCCCCGTGCCCAGCGCCCTTGGTCTGTTCCATTGGCGCACGTTGCCAAAGATGGTCATTTGCGTTAGAGGACGCGAGTGCGGGTTTCCTCGCTTTCGGGTGACGTGGAGGGAGAGGGATTCCCTCGCCCGCTCCCGAGTGCGCTGTGGCCTCTCCCCCGCCCCGGGAAGGGGCGCGGGGCGGGGCCCCGAGAGCGGCCGCGCGGTCTCGACTCCGGATTTTAGAAAATAATCACAGCCCTGACGGCGAGACGGGCGGTTCGGTGCGGCGCCACCGGGAGGCCGGGAGCTGGGCGCGCAGAGCCGCTCGCAGGGAGGGCGCGGCCGCGCGCGGTCGTAGGCGCCCTTCGCGGCGCCGCCGAGTGCAGCGGGCGCCCGGGGCGCGCAGGGTGCCCGCGCCGCCCTGCGGCCGGGTCTTGGCGGGGCGCGGCGCCGGGTGGGGCTGGCCTGCCTATTTTTCCCTCCGTGGCGGGCTGCCTACCGCTTCCCTTTTTGATTTTTGTTTTTCATGTTTTCGGTCCTACAGTTAATTCGTTAGGAGTAGCCTTGAAGATGAAATTAACCGGGCAAGACATTCCGGCTGCCCTGTACGCCGAGCAATTAGGACGCATCTAATAAGAGTAATCGGGCGTTTATAAGCAAACTCCCGACTGTTACGAATTTAAAAAAAAAAAAAAAAAAGTAGCCAGCGAGAGGGTGTGCCCCAACGTTGTCGTCTTCAGCTGTTTTGGAGCGAAGTTCAGGGCGCGGGTAGCCGGACACTTGGGTCCTCCTCCCTCACTGGGCGGGGCTGGGAGGGGCGCGGCGCAGGGTACAGAGCACAGACCTTGGAGCAGGAACGCCCGGCTACGCTATTTACGAGCTGTGAGATCTTAGACCAATTCCTTAACCTCTCTGGGCCTCAGTTTCCTCCTATAAAGGGAAGGAGTTTGGAGCCATGACCTTAGGCCCTTCTCTGCTCTGGAGCTCCAATCCTTCTGCTGAGATGATGGTGTGTGAATGGAGAAGTACTGTAGCGGAATTCAAGGAACTTAGGTTCTGGCCCAGGGTCTGTTAGCCTCAGTTTACCCAATTCTTAAGTAGCACCAGCCGTCTGTACCCCACAGGGTCCTTATGAGGCCCCAAAGTTAAGAGGTGTTCTTGAGAGTCCATTGCGGGCAACTCGCTGTGCACCGTCACACAAGTTCTGTCCTCAGTTTCCTTATCTGTAAAGTGGGGGTGTTGGTAGGAAAGAAAAATAGAGCCGGGATCGCGAAGCTTTCCTGGGGCTCTATATAAAGCGCTGGCATTTCCGGGACGGCTGGCGGCATCTGGCCGCCCCAAGGGCCCCAAGATACGGTAATCCCAAACAATACTCGGGGTCATTGTTTACAGCTATAAAACACATTCTGTCCTGAACGCTATCCCCAAGGACGCGCGCGCGTGCGCGACGGGACGAGGCCAGCCAGACTCCTCGCACCTCCGCTGCTGCCCGCTGGGCAGAGTCCCCAACTCCGCGGGCCCAGGAGAGGGGTGTGGGGCAGGCGGACGCACACGCCAGCCGTGGGTGCTTTGCTTTTTTCTTCCTCCTCCCCATCCCTGCGTCCTGGCCTGCCTGGGTGTTTACGCGCCTCTCCCAGCAGGACTGAGTAAATGCAGTCCTTTGACGCAAAACGAATCAGTCCTTCCCCAGCGGCAGCAGCAAAACCCAGAAAACTGGGGGTGGGGGTAGGGACGGGAGGGGCACAGAAGAAATCGTGACACTTTCCCACTCTCTTCTCAGCCCCTCCCCGCGCCACGCGGGCCTCAGGCCGCCCTAGCCAAGTCTTGGGGGCTGCAAAGGGAGGCGCGGCGAAAGCGCCCTGAGCCCTCCCAGTAGCAACCGCGTGTCGGAGCGGCGCGAACAGACGCACTTTTGGTTTTCCTTTGAGCAGTAGAGGCTGCCCCGCCCTCCCCCACCTGGCGCTCGAAAATCCGGGTGCTTCTGGGTCTCTCCCACACAGTCCTTCCAGTAATGCGGGGGGAAAAGAGGCGGGGGAAGGGGAGCAGGAGCTTCCTCCGCGGCCTCCGCAGTCCCGGGCGCGCCCAGCCCCGGCCCGGCGCCGCCGGGAGCGCGCGGGCGAGCGCACCCTCGCGCCCTCGCCCGCCCCCGCCTGCCAGCTCCCCGGTCCTTTCCTTTCTTGTGGGTTCCCGTAAAGCCCAGCAGCCTGGAGACGTCTGCAGAGCATCACGGAATCTGTGCTGATGCAATTCACTAGCCTCCCTTTGGTGCGCCCTGGCCTGCCTCAGAGCGTTTTGATCCCGGCCCTCTCCTACTCCAGAGCTCGTGCTGGCTCCCTCTGCCCGCCGGGAGGCCTGCGTTCCGCCGCCGGCTCACCGCCTTTCAGTACTTCCAGCGCCCGACACACAACTCTGTGCCCTGGTGCTGCTGCGAGACTGACCTCCCCAGGTTCAGCCAGTGCCTCAGCGAACTGTGCCTGCCAAACCGAGAATTCAGCCTCCAAGCCTAGTTCAGTGCCCTCTCCTTGGGAAATCATTCCAGAGTCATCCAGTTAGAAAGGGTCCTCTGGCTCCCCGGAATGCTAAAAATAGAGGTGACCCTTTATCGAGTACTAAAATCAGAGCCAGGCACCATGCTGAATACAGGGCTTGTTCAGTGGAATTCTCAGAGCAAACGCTGGAGGTGGGTATTATTCTCTGGTTGCAGAAGACAGTGAGATTGAATAACTTGTCCAGGGTTAGTGAGTTAGTGATCGGTTAGGAGTGCAGTTGAGATTTTCCAACCCCAGGCTCTTCTTCTTCCCCAGGACATGGCATGACCTGCCTCCTGTTGGAATGTCTTTGTCTCTCTCTTACTGGTCTTGGAAGGCATGGTCTTTATCTGGTGCATGACTTTATCCTACACTTAGAGGTGTTCCTTAATTCTCCACTGAACAAATAGCCTCAGCACCATCCCTCAGCTTAGAGAAGAGGCCATGTCAAGTGAGGGAAGGGAAGGGAAGGGGAAGAGGGAAGCTGGGGTGGGAAGAAAAGGGTAGGTGAGCTGTCTTCTCATTGCCTCTTGGTCTCTGAGACCTCTCTGCCCCACTTTTGCCGGTCTCCTTGTTTGTCCATCCTGGCCAGTGTTTGGCCCTTGAGAGATGAGGAATCCCAGAATAGCTGGCACCTCTGAGCTGCGCTGGCCCACACATCTCAGCACGAGATAGTTGAAGCCCTTTCACACACATCGCCTCACTTGTCCTTACACATGACATCTCTGAAAGGGATATAGACAGCAGAGTGACTCTGGATTGCCAGAGAGGAGGCTTAGGTGCAGAGTGGCACAGCAGCCTACTCAAAATTTTCCAGCTGTAGGTGTCAGTCTGTGTTCAAAGCCGTCTCACCTGACTTTAAACCCAGCACTTTGCTGTTTGCCATGCTTCCAGCCTTGTAAGTTTAGGAGCAAACTCCATCTCTCTTTTTTTTTTTTTTTTTTTTTTTGAGACAGAGTCTTCCTCTGTCCCCCAGGCTGGAATGCAGTGTCGTGATCTCAGCCCACTGCAACCTCTGCCTCCCGAGTTCAAGTGATTCTCCTGCCTTAGCCTCCCAAGTAGCTGGGATTACAGGAGCACGCCACCACACCTGGCTAATTTTTGTGTTTTTTGTAGAGATGGGGTTTGACCATGTTGACCAGGCTGGTCTCAAACTCCTGGCCTCAAGTGATCAGCCCGCCTTGGCCTCCCAAAGTGCTGGGTTTACAGGCGTGAGCCACCATTCCCAGCTTACATCTCTTAATGATACACTGTCCTCTATATCCATCATGCCTGAATGAACTTGCCATCATATCTTTATAGTAAATCATACTTTTTAGATGATGTAATATTTCTGAAAGCCAGATGTATCTTATAATCGATGACTATTGAATATGGAAGTGTTCCCGTTTTTGTCCAAAGACCTGTGAATCACTCATGGGTCCATCAGGAAACAGTCTTTAACCCAGATGGTTCAAAGGATGAGGCTTTAATGGAGAAACTCCTTATGGAGTTTCCCATAGAGGTATGGGCAAAGTTAAGAGGGAATTGAGGCACCTAGAGCCTAGTAACGGCAGGAAATGATGACCGTCCCTAGGGTTGAAAAGAGAAGGCAATCATGTTATTGGAGCCTAGTGAGCTTGGGACCATGAAGGAGGGGCCATCCAGCGGGTAGAGGGAAGGAGCCCCTGCCAGAGATAGCCCACTGAAAGGGAGGGAGAAGTTGGGGTCAAGAAATACCAGACCATCTCTCCCACCTCCTGCCTCCTTCTCTGGCCAAACAGCGGGAGCTGCTGATCCATGCAGTCCACTAAGGTTGGCCTCCCAGGGCACAGAGAAGGGCAAAGAAGGATAAAGAGCAAATCTAGTGGGGCACTCAGCAAATGGGGAGTAACCAGTATAAATCCCATTAAGCACATGAGGGATCTAACGAGGGATGGTGTTTCAGATTGAGGGAAATAAGGTAAATCAGTGAGGCCTTACACCTCATGTACTGTGGAAGTGAACACTGGAATAGCCTGAACAGCTTTTTGAAACCACATCTCCCCTCTTTACTCATAACATGAAACCACTCACACTGATACTTGAGCCACTGAGCCATGTATTGTATCTTTCAGGTGTGGGGCAGAGAAAAGGCTATACCCGCTGATGAACAGGGATCCACTCCTGGGGAAGAAGCAAGCATGACTTTCTCTCCTGTGGCTTTATGCGACCTCCTTGAAATTCCAAGAGCAACCCTCCCAGCTAAAGTCTTCTCAGAGGTGACACATAAGCCTTCACTCTACGTGATTCCCATTTCATGAATGGGCTATACACCAATGGAGAAGAAATGAAGACAAGAAATATCACTCTAGAGGCAGTCATATCGTAGTTTTAAAACAACGCTCTCCATCTGGGTGGGGTATTACACGTCTGTGGGTGTGTAAAAGTTCATCTACAGGCTCTGCCCTTAGGATTGCACCATTTTATTCATTTTACTTTATATATGTTACCCTCGATTTAACAAAAAACAAGAAGCAAACAACGACAACAAAACTTTTTTATTTCCTTAGAGCACATTTAGAGTTATATTGAAGTGTGGGCAAGACTTGTGAGAAAGCATATGCAAATGAGGCCGTTCTGGCCGACCCCATGAGGCCCCTAGGAGGCTGAGTGGAATCAGTGCCCTGGTGGCGGTGGGGGCGGGGGGACAGGAAGAGGGTACTTCCCTGCCACCAGTTTTTTGGTTTTGGTTTTTTTAAAAGCCGGATACATTCCAGAGATAAAGTGACCAGTGCTCTTATTCAGAAATATCTTTATGAGTCAGAACAGAAGTCACCCCTGGTAGGAATGTTTGTCAGGTTGGGAGAACAGAAACAGGACAACTTCCCCTGCTGCTTCTCTGGTTCTAGGATCTGCACAAGGAGAGGCGGCACAGGGTTTGGCTTCCAGCTGGGAAATGGAGCTCCAAGGGCAGCCCTGTGACCTGGGCCAAGCCCCTTGACATCTCCAGACCTTGGCTTCCTCATCTGCCACCAAGACGCTGGATTGAATGTTGGATACATTGTAAGGCAAGGGAGACACAGAAGTCCTAAAGGAGGTAAAGCTTTTCCCCACTGCCCCTCCATCTGGACGAGTCTCCTGCCAAGCATCTTCAAACCCCACTGTGAAACACGATTCTGCCCCTTCCTGTTCTGAGGGTCTGGGAAAGCAAGGGGGAAGGGGCTGTCGGGATCCCTGTTTGCTTCAGGCCCAGACCAGGAGGCTCAGGTAGGCTTATCTACTCCTTATGTGGTGGGGGGCCCAGGATGCTGCCAGGGTCTCACAGCCATGGTCTCACAGCCACTATCAGCCTGTCCTCAGGGGTATAAGAGAAGCTGGAAGCCTAGATGGGCGCTGCCCTCAGGCAACTTCCAATCTAACCGAGAAGAATAAAGAGTAACACACAAAATATTGGGGGCATGAGGCAATAACTGTGGGGACACCTATAAAAACCTCTAATTGGGCTTACCTGGTACCAGACAGTATTTTAATTGGATCATATATACTGCATTAACTCAGTTAATACTCACAACACCCCTATGAGGTAGCTACAGTTATTATCCCCATTCAACGATGGGGAAAACTGAAGTCAGAAGAGGTCAACTTGCCCAGGTTTCCAGAGCTGAAAAGCAACAGAGCTGGGATTTCACTGCAGGTATTCTGGTCCCAGAGTCTTGGTACAAATGGTGTTAATGAACTCTTCTTCTGGTAAGAGCACCCCAATTTTCCTTTGGAGAACCTCCACTTCCCCATTTCATGTGCCATGGGTGACCCTACCCTTGAGCTCTTGGGGTGAACACATGGACACACGATCCAGTCCTGACCAAACAGAACATCTCGCTTCCCTACAGTTAGTGATAGGTTCAGGATTGTAGCAATGACCCAAGACTGGCTTCTGAGAGTCACATTTGAGACTATGGCTCAAACTCTTGGAGAAGGGGAGAAGCAGTCTTTTTTCAACTGAGGCACTATACTCTTTATTACTCCTTAAAGACGGAAATACCAGGAAGAAAACCAAGCTAGCGGGTGGCAAAGCTGAGCAGTGGAGAACAGCAAGTTCCTGATGACATTGTTTGATGGCCTAAACCCCACTATACCTCCAGTGGTTATCTCCCTGGACTTTCCTGTTATATGGAAATTACCCCTTTTGTGTTGAAGCCAATTTGAGTTGGATATCTGTCACTTATGACCAAAAAGGTCCTAATGCACTAGTGAACACAGAGCACATACTGTGAGCACCTACTCTTTTTTTTCTTTCTTTCTTCCCCCCCCCCCCCCCCGAGACGGAGTCTTTCTCTGTCACCCAGGCTGGAGTGCAGTGGTACAATCTCAGCTCACTGCAACTTCTGCCTCCCGGGTTCAAGTGACTCTCCAGCCTCGGCCTCCTGAGTAGCTAGGACTATAGGCACGTGCCACCATGCCCGGCTAATTTTTGTATTCTTAGTAGAGACAGGGTTTCACCATGCTGACCAGGCTGGTCTCGAACTCCTGACCTTGTGATCCGCCCACTTCGGCCTCCCAAAGTGCTGGGATTACAGATGTGAGCCACCGCACCCGGCCCAAGCACTTACTCTTTTCAAGACATTTCCAGAAAAACAAATACAGATAAGAAAGGATCAGTCTTCAAAGAAGTTGGAAGCTGGTGAGGGATAACAAAGATTCTCAAAAAACTTTAAGACAAGTCAGAACACAATTGACAGCACAAGGCAGCTACGCGGATTCTCGGGTTAATGCAAAGGGGAGAATTTTCTATATTGGATGGAACACATCAGAAAAGTTCTCACGAAGGTGGTAGCGGTGAAATTGGCCTCAGAAGTCTGATAGGATGTTGGCAGGTGAAGGCAGGGAAGCTACAGGGCAGACAGCATGAGGAAGGGCCCAGGTTCAGGGAAGTATGGACATGCAGGGGCAAGTGTAAATTGATGGGATTACCTGGGACCAGAGGAAAGGTCTAAAACATAGGCTGGGGCAGGGTGGGGAAAGGATGGTTCTGAAGTATCTGAAGTATCTCCAAATATTTGAAGATATTCCCCATGGAAAAGAAACTAGGCTTATTTGGAGTGACCCCAGAGGACAAGGCTAGGACTAAGAATGGATGCTCGCAGATGGAGGAAGTAGACCTGACCCCTG